ATATATATATATATATATAAAAATATAATTGTGAAAACTGGAATCTAACTAGAATCTAAAAACTATGAAAGGTCGAAGAAAAAAATCAATTTTACTGAAATATGCATCGAATTGTACTCTCATCTCTATGCAAAACTTTGAGATAGCGTGCAAAGTGTTAAAATTTTCGACATACCAACACTTTCGTGAAATTTCGACGTCAATAATAACTGTTGGAATGATTCTAACAATTCTTCGACGAAATACGATAATTGTTGGAGTAATATATATTTAAAAAAAAATATATTAAGATAATATTAAGAAAATTTAAAATATATATTAAAATAAAAATATAATAATATAATTTAAAACATATATTAAAAAAATTTTGTGAAAACTGGAGTCCAGAGTCCAGGACCTATAGAATATCTATATATTCTTGATATTTTCAAACTTCTAGACTATTCATAAAATTTCCCTTTGCTCGAGAGTGTGAACAGTGTTTGTTGTATAAAAAAAAAAAAAAAAAAAATCGTGAAAATTGGAGTCTGAATTCTAAAAGACTATGGAACGTCGAGGCAAACGAGAAGAGATCGTTGATCGGAGGAAGGATTGAACGGTGCAACAAAGCAAAAATATTGGATCGGACAGTTCGTAGTGACATTGACGATATTTCTTCTTTTAGAGAAACCGTGGCCTTCCAGTTTGCGGCCGGAGAAATTCGGTTTCACCGGCAAACTTCGTCGGTAGTTCGGTCAATCGGCGGTTTAACTAAATATCGTGGATACACATACACACACGTATGCACGAATAAAGCGGATGAACAAGTAACTATAAGCATCTGGTTATAGGTCGTGTATAATTCGAATCGAAAACATTTAACTGGAAGATCGAGGATGCACGAAACTCGATCCTATCTGTATGGAGAATTGAATAGAGTGAATTGAATCTAGCTATTCGATAGACCGTTGTTAGCTAGAAATTTCATTTCAATATCTGATGATTAATTAAACACTTGCCTTTCAAAATATATATTAGATACAATAAATATAAGTGGATACCTGTCATTGGAAATTTTAAATATTCGACAAACCCGCAGTGCAATGTACTTTGATGTTTCTATTTCGAAAGAAAGTCTCGGATCAAAGGACAGAATTTACATATCGACGCGAGTGCTCTCTCTCTCTCTCTAAAATTTCGCCCAAATAATTCATCAAATAGAACAATTAACCAGGCTTCGAATGTAATTAATAACGCGTGATTTATTTGCGAATGCAAAACAAGGCGTAGCCGGAAGCGATCTGTATACAACCGCGGCTTTCAGTAGCACAGTTTCCTACAGATCGATAACAATATGAAATAACCAGATGCTTCTGCGTTTTCCTTTCTATGCTACCACTGCATTTTTTTTTTTTTTTTTTGCCCCCTCTGAACAGTTGATTTGATCACATTAATGACAGTCGATTTGATCGACGTCGAAAGAATATATAAATTTATACCATTCTACATTGTCTCGACGATCTTCGTCCACTTCTGAAGATAAATTACTTTCAATACGTTACGATTCGTTGCTTCAATTCAAGTTACACTTCAATGAGAATGGAAAAATTGTCGATAATTTACAGTGATACGACTTGGTGAAGGAAATCCACTTGATCTGATTTTGTAGAATGGAACCTCGTGAGTTCGCTCGTTTAAAAAATGATCTTGCATCTTTGAGACAATCCTCGAAGATTGTAAAAATTCGAACGCGTGTGAAAATATTGAAAAAAAATTTTTTTCTCGTAAATAAATCTATTTCATCATTTTGGAGATTGAAGTTTCCCCTTTTATAACGACACCTTGAAACTCGTACAATTCTTTTTTTTTTTTTAATTATTTTATATTCAATCGAACGTTGAATGTTAGGATCGAAGGAGAAAAATTCGAGAAATTCGTAAGAAACTTCGTCGTCAATAAAATGGAATTCTAAAGGCTCGTTGGAACGAGAAAATTCCAATGTTTAAAACCACAATGAATCTAATCACGGAAAGAGATTTTTCTATCATTTTTAGAGACATTTGAATTTCTAGAATTTTTGGAGAAAAATCTTCTCATTCAATACGTGATGCAAAATCATCAGAGATTGTCAAAGTAAAGTCATCGGGCTTTAAAACGGGAGCAAGCGGATCGTTAACTGATCCTGTTTCACGAGGTTGCGTCAGTTTCAATTATCGACAATTTTTCATTGTCACTGGGTACAATTATGCTCTTCTTATGCTACGTATTCCAAAGTATAACACACTTTCGTCAAAAAAAATCCTGTCGAAACTACTCGAAACATTAAGCGTCAAGAAAGTATTTCAACGACGACAAGAAAGAACAATGAATTAGAGTATGGAAAATTCACTGTAATCAAGAGTTTGTTCCCAATTATTAATACTTTGGAAATGTAGTCCAATCTCCCCTTTAAACTTTTAATAATGCTTTATTATATTTCACGGTAAACGAATGACGATCGGGAATGTTTTTATTAAACCATGAACGAGGATAATCGCCACTCGCGCGTTCGAAGGACAATGAGAGAGCGCTAAGTTTTAATATTGAAACTGGCTCGTTGTCTCGTCGACGGAAAAAAAATTAATCGAAAAAGAAAAAAAAAAAATGTACGTCCGTCGCGATTTTTCGAACGGGCGTGCGAATATTCCCAACGTAATCAACAAGCGATCGTTTGTCGAACATTCCAACGTTCCAAAATTTCGCATCGCCAATCGGCAAAGAGAGATCGAAGTTAAATACAATCGAAAACATTGTTTTCATATTCCGATAGATCTGTCGGACGATTTACCTTGGCGTCTACCTTCACGAATTCGCTGGAACTGTACTCTGCTACAGCCTCCCTCGCCTTCTGGTGGCCTGAAACAAACGGCGCGTGATTCATTGATTCTTAATAAAACTGAAAGTCAAATTCAATCCTTTGCAATCAACTTTGTCGCCTTCTGAGGGGGACATCGTACTCAAATCTAGCCAAGAGTTCGGATTTTCTTATTTTTATAATTTGCTGATAATTATAACAAATGTACACGTTTAGGTTAGGTTTAGGTTAGGTTTTTCAATCCTTTGCACTCGACTTTGTCGCCTTCTGAAGAGGACATTGTACTCAAATCTAGCCAACAGCTCGGATTTTCTCTTTCTTATAATTTGCTGATAATTATAACAAATGTACACGTTAGATTTAAGTTAGATTTAGGTTAAGTTTAGGTTAGGTTTGCAATCCTTTGCACTCGACTTTGTCGCCTTCTGAGGGGGACATCGTACTCAAATCTAGTCAATAGTTCGGATTTTCTTTTTCTTATAATTTGCTGATAATTATAACAAATGTACACGTTTGGTTAGGTTTAGGTTAGATTTGCAATCCTTTGCACTCGACTTTGTCGCCTTCTGAGGGGGACATCGTACTCAAATCTAGTCAATAGTTCGGATTTTCTTTTTCTTATAATTTGCTGATAATTATAACAAATGTACACGTTTGGTTAGGTTTAGGTTAGGTTTAGGTTAGGTTTGCAATCGACTCTGTCGCCTTCTGAAGAGGACATTGTACTCAAATCTAGCCAACAGCTCGGATTTTCTCTTTCTTATAATTTGCTGATAATTCATAAATACAAATGTACACGTTAGGTTAGATTTAGGTTAGATTTGGTATTGCACGATATGATGTATAATACACTGCTCACAGAAATTAGGGGATATTCAACTTTCAGCCTCTCGTGTAGTGCGTATTCACCAATGAAATAAACGTCAACAACAAACAATAAATCAAACAAAAATCAAATGCAAAATCATATAAATATCCCCTAATCTTTGCAAGCAGTGTAGTATAATATATCTGAACAGACGGCGGAGAGTGAAATAATAAATTTCTGAAGACTCGAATCAATTGGAGTAATTCGCACAAACTAGACTTCTTACTGCTTCTTAACGAAAGTTCGAAAAAATGGCGGGAAACTCTTGTATACTATGGCTTGGTCTGACAAGCCTGCAACGCACGTTGATGATTGTTTTAAACTGAAACGATCATCACGCACAAATTGGTTATCACAAATACATAATCAAGAAAATTTCGCGTAAAATACCACTTGAATGAATTACTTCCAATGCTATGTATCATTTGATTTGAACGGATGTTTCGTAAATAAATTGGCAGATGGATAGAAATCAATCTGGACGATGCTTAACTTTAATTTTTGAAATGAACCAACAAATTGAATTTATTTTGTAGTTTCATTAATATCGATAATGTCATTCAGTCCGTGCAATACAAGATTAGGTTATCTACGTTTTCCACACTGGGTGGAAAATTTTTCTGCATTTTACGCGAATTACGGAAATTTTCTAACTAGTACCTGTACTCGGTGCGTATCCGTTGTATAATTGAGAGACGAGGCTTTGCTGAACAGCGTCGATTACTTCTTTCGGTGGTCTCAAATTGCCGAAAGTAGTTGGGTCACCTACGCACATACGTAACATGTTGATGCACTGCAAGTTATAACTTTTTATTTGTAAGGTTCGAACTTGCCACGAAGTATGTTAAATTGCGAAATCGAATGAATGAAGCAAAGATAGAACAATCAAACTCGTCAGATTGTGAGAAGTACGATCGTGTAAATCTACTTATTCGAATTTAACATTAAATTATATAATAGAGTAGAATATTTTCGTACGTGTTGTTAAAGATTTTAAATAATCAAATAACACTGAAGGTTACACGCTAATTTTCATCCCAGGAACGACAATTCTGTCCGTGCTAAAAGATTAATCTAGATCTCGAGGACATCACGTTAAAGGAAAACGTGTCTTTGTCTTCATTATAATATCTGGACAAAGGAATTTCCATTTGTGATTAATATGAATTTTAACTGGATTCTCCAGTAGTTTTCTCGCAGTGTTCTGGCGCGCAATTGAAATTACGATTTAAATTTAGTTTTTATGAAAACGTTGAAACTGCGTTTATTAACGCAGTCTCTAATTTTAATAAATTTCTATATATTCGATGCCGTACGAGTCACAGACGTTTTCTATTTTTTTTTTCTTTCTTTCTTTCTTCCCCCCCCCCCCTCGAAAAAGGATACGTAATACAATTTGCAACGAACGTGAAACACCTACAAAGCATATTTTTTTAATTAAACTGCTCGAAGCATACTAATTAGAACTTTCATTCCCAATTAAAACAATTTCAAGTGAAAATCCCTGTTATCGTCGCTAAATATTCCTGTGAAATGTAATTCTCCGAAATATATTCCTCTTCTATGAAAAAGGAACAAGTGACGGCAAAAACAATTGTCTTTTGAAATTTCTCTGGGTAACACAGCATTTTGCAAATATTAGTAGAGAACGATTTAGAATGCTGTCGTTAAACGAGACATCAAAAAGGAACGGACGTTGTTAAATTACGACGTGAGAGACGTAACAACGAAATTCATCCTTTTTTCCAATTGCCAGAAACTCGTAATGGAAAAAACTACTGTCAGTCTCTGTTTTTCGAGCTGTTGCTCAGCATCTTCGAGCAATAATTAATATCCGACCCCGCGCTTCTGGATCTCTTGAACTTGAACTTCGAAATGCAAATGGCCACGTTGTGCCGTTGAAATTAACAAACAAATAAGTTCAGATAGATATTCACACTTTTTGGTACTTTTGATGCGACTCGAGTCACAAATATCTTTTTTTAA